CGCTACACGTCACCGGCTGGTTGACAGGGCTGAGACCCGGTGAGGGATGAGCTGCAGTAGAAATTACAGGATTTCCTGTCACAATCTCGTCCCGTATTCGGAAGCTACGCGAATACGGGGGCTGCTCCTTCACGAACGTCTTAAATGGACCACAGGAAACAGCCGTCGGTCGGACGGTCGCGAACACACGAATTACCTCTATGTGTCCTTCGCCGTGCAGGTCGCACTCGCAATGGTGCTGTATTCACCAGCGCTGGAGCCGCCGGTTGGATCCTCCACCGATATGCGTTACTCCAGCAATTGGGGTCCACACGGTTGACCGTCCGACGCGTAGTCCACCGTGCAGGTCACACGCGCAATGGTGATGTATTCACCAAGGCTGGGTTCCACCTTAGTATCCTCCACCAGGCAGGTCTCACTCTCAATGGTGATGTATTCACCAGCTCTTGGGGTCCACACGGTGGAAAACTCGACACGCGAACTCGTTTCGGAATGACTCGTCGATCGAATTCAAACCTTGGCACTTTTTAATTCCGGCACTTGAACAAGCTCCGATTCTGATTTCACGATTCGTTTCTGATTCCCTCAACACGGGAATCCGCGAGACCGAAAAACTGAACCGACACTTAGACTCGAAACGGAATTATTCGCGCCGTACTTTTATCTCGCGGGAGAAAACCGATACGCGGAACTCCTCGCTCAACAAAATCCAAAATTGGAATAAACGGCTTTTCTGAACCGTCCTTTACCTCGATCGTCGCGAGGTGGGAAGCGCGAGGTCACTATCTCTCTCGCTCCCCTGTGACACGTCACGCGCGCGTCACCTTTCTCCGTCGCGCTCTGCCCGTTTCGAACTTTTTCCGGTCGCGAATCTAAACATCGCGACCGTTGCAATGACCGGGCCGGCAAGAAACTCGGCGCGTTTATCATTGCTTTTTCTAATGTCGCGGTGACTTTCGCGGAACCTCAATACGGTCCCGCGATTATTATTATTTCCGAACGGTTGGATTTAAATCACAGGGGCGTTTGGAAATCGATATGTTACTTTTTTAAACAACAATGAACAGATGATACGAAACCATCACAAAGCAATGAACAAATCAGCGGCACTCGCCACACGCGATTACGGTATAAGACAGAACAAGGAGAACAATCCCAGAGGAAAAAGGAAAAAGGAACTGGAACGATGAAATAACACGATCCAATCGAAGAGAACGAGGGGGACGAAAAACCCTCGCGACAGATATTGAAACAGAGAGACGCGAACGACACGAGTAACGAAACCAACCCCCCCCCCACCCGAAACCCAGAGAACACCGATCGAAGCAAAAACAAAAATAATCGAGACAAACTCGCAAAGAACCGCGAGACAATAAAAGACAACGCGATCAACGTAAAAGGATTAAAGCAAGCAAAGAAAGGCGCGACGAGGAGAAGCATGCGAACAAGGGTCACGGGAACTGACGAACAGTAACAGACAAAAATAAAACGGAAAACGAAAGAACACACGAAGAAAGAGACAAAAGGAATGAGGGATAAGGAAAGAAAGAGAAGAGACGAGACCGAGAGCCAAACCAAGGAGAACGGTGAAAAAGGCAGGAGCGAAAACGAAGAACATTAACAAGACAAAACAACGACTAAAATAGATACAAAACGACACAACCAACAACGACCACCAATAATAAAACGAACGAAACAAAAGGAGAAAAACTAACAACAAAAAAGAAAGAACAAATCAAAGAACAAAAGAAAGCAACCACCAAACAAGAAAAAAAAGGAGAAAATGTACGAGAGAAACAGAGAAATCACAAGCAATTAGACAGCACCGCGAATAAAACGCGACAAGACAAAATGCAAAGCGAAATAAAAAAGGCAAAACAAAAGAAACAACGGAATCGACGAACGGACAGGCGACAAAGAAACTACCACCCTCGAAAACGAAGAGACGCACGAAACGTGTACGAAAATAGCGACGAAGCAATAAAAGACGAAAGGAGTAACGACACACCTGACAAAAAAACCCCCAAACGTCGAAGCATAAAACACGACGATCCACGAAACGGTGAATACATACCTAGAAGGAAAACATGAACCAGGCAACCGACATCTGGCAACGATAAAAAAAAATAAGCCAAATGAAAAGAAGGCAATAGAAAGGCAAGGACGGCAGAGAACTCGACGGAAAGACCGCAGTAAAAAAATGGAAAGAACGATAAGGGACCAGGAAAGACGCAACGCTCAACGCGAAGGGATAAGACACCCCCTATACACTGGACAAACACCCGAGACGGCTCAGACCCAATGACCCACAGCCAAAATAGATAGAGTTAATAA